GATAACGATATTTCTTTTTATTTTTCAATCTAAAATTTTAGGTTTAAATAAGTTAAAGTTTTATATGAAATTAAAATAAAAAACGAAAATATTACAAAATGAGTTTTAAATGTATTTTTAGAATTTTCAAAATCACTTTTATTTTCGAGTTATATTTGAAAATAGTTTTTGACACTTGTCCTTTTTTAGTTTTTATAATATGAATATAACAGTTTTCCTATCACATAATATTAAAATGGTTGTTACTGACACAGTGGTTTATTCGATTTGGTTTAGGTTTGAGCTAAAACCAATAAATTTAAAATTAAAGTAGTAACCCATTGCCATTGATCGGAATCAACAAAATTTGTCCAAATTAAACTGAACAACTATTTTTCCATTTTGTAGATTGAAAACTAAACCAATCAACATATAGTTCAACCCGACTTAAATCAATGCGATTCAATCAATTTTGAATGCCATATTAGGCTACAATTCATAGATTTAAAGTATTCAAAGAGTTGATGAAAAAAAGAATGAGGTGTTTCCGAAGGTCCTTGTTATCCTAAAGTGTCTAAGACTGAAATTTTAGAATCCTTATTATGGCTATTCTTGTAATAATACGACATCATTTCTCTGCTAAAATGCAAATTAACAAAATCGTAAACAATTTTAAATGGAATATCAATATGTAATGTGATATTGATTTTAGTGGCATAGGAGTACACAATTTTAGTGGCAAGGTCCTATTTCTCGTTCAAAGTTTTCTACTTTTCCATAAGGAATATTCTAAATTAAAAACGGGAAAAAGAAATAGTTATTTCTAAAATATATATAAATGAAAAACAAAAAATAGAAACATTACCCAATAACCTTAGACCTTAAATTTCTCCAATTGATTGACATACCCATTGCCGCGAAAAAAAAAAAGCCTTCATTTATTAATAATTTTTTTGCTTAAATTTTTAAATATATTTTTTGAATGTAGAAAATCTAAAAGATGATCACTCCTTAAAAAGTAGAGTAAAAAAATAGATGAGTGTTTAGTTATTAGAATTTTTTGTTTGTTTTCACAAGTCTAGTATAATATAAATATGCCCTTTCAAATTTTACAAAATTAGCATAATTAAAATCCAACTCCAATTAAAATATAATATAATAGTCAAGTTTATGTCATGTTATATCTATTAAGATTTCTGATTAATTATATATATATGTATGTATATATGCAAATATCTCACAAATTAAAACTCCATAAAGTACCATCTCTTACTAGTGATGGCTCAAATGTCTACAAGTTTAATGTATCCTATCCACTCACCTCCACTTGTACAAGAAAAAGAAAAGTCTGTTTAAAAGTAGAGTAACTTAAGGATCAAATTCATCTCCAAAGATTAAGAAATAAATAGAAACAATGTTAGAAGTCTGATAACTTAAATAAGATAAAACTTGTCCACACACAGATTAGCAGAAGCTCTTACTGACTTTATAATATGGTGGATAACAGCTGAGAATCGTTGGAGTCATAGAGTCGTTGGTTTCCAAAAGTCAAAGGGCTTCCGTTGCTGAAATTCAAGAAGAATTATGTTATATAGACAACGTGCTTCAATACAACAAATTCTGCAATAGTGTTGTTTTGTTTGCGAGCTGTTTCTTAAAAGAAAAGCCAACTACTCGTGATTTGAGTGACAAATTTAAAGCTGGCTGATAAGTTTTGTTTTTTTCGAACATCAATGATAGTTTGAGCCAGCTTGTGTGCACCTCGACTAATCTCATTAGTAATCCACACGACTCTATTATATTTGTTTTGTTTCTAAAGAAGCTCACAAGATATTAAATCCTAAGTGGGTAGTATCATGCTTATGATCATTGGAACATTCCCGTCCTCTAATATTTAAGGGAAAATAAAAATGAGAAAATAAAACTTAAAATTTCTATAAATCTGACCCATCTCTCTTCCTACACTAATTAACTGTTTCTTCCCAATGGTGTGTTTAGAATTTTCATATAAACAAGCCCTGTGGATATTTTTAGAAAATATATTTGAAAGCACTTTTTGTGACCTTCACACCATGAAATGAACTTTCAGCTAAATGATAGCAAGTGAAAAACTTTCACTGATAAGTGAGAATAGGATTTTTGAAAAATAAAATAGAATCATAGGCACAAAGGTACAGCACATTTTCAAATTAAAATGCAGGACACCCAAACTAGAACATAGAAATATTTCACTACACTGTTCTATATAAATATACTTGGCTCGACTTACCTGGGCAATTGGAAGCTTTAATCTCACCGACTCAATCAAGTCAAAATCAATGTCTGCTACAGCAATTCCCGTGGCTAATCGATCTGAAAGAAAAAGTGAGGGAATATATGAAATATGAGTGAATAGTATCAGGGAATACTCTATGGAACATATTGTACTCTAAAGCATATCCATGAGTCCTAGAGAGAGTTTGATTTCAACTCTATCAACATGTATCCACAGCTGTTCCCGAGCATACGGGTGATTTTGAGATGAATTTTTGGAAGATTAAAAGAACTTTTCAAAATTTCATAGTAACTAATTGGCATAGGATGATATGAGTGCAGGTTCACCCTAAGTCAGGCCTATGTATGAGTTCAAGTTCTAGGTATTATTTTAATCAATGTTCTTCCAAGAGTGCTCATAGAATAAATTAGGCTAATTTAATTTCCCTCAAAATTACTTTTTCAAAAGTCATCCCAAACTCACTCTTAATTTAGGCTATATGTAAGAATGTAAGAAGAGTGTAAGAGTGCAAGTTCTAAGTGTTACAAAGCTAGTGAACACTTCTGGTAGATAACATAATTTCCAAATTTTTGATATTGAAATGCACCCACCAGCAGGAATCTAGATCCCGTTCTTGAAATGTCATGGTATCATTGAGAGAAAGCAAGGTACATAAAATATATTTTTTTAAGAGATTGTTCTCAAAATTTATAATTTTGTCCTATATTACTATTTAGGCTTGTTTATTATGCTTAAAAAGTGTTTCATATATGCCTAACAAGTATCGGATCAATACTCACTTTATACATTACTAATGTATGACACACATCTAATGAGCTAACAAGTTTCCAATACGTGTCCAACGAGTTGCGGACATAGACACGGATATGTTACCCAAAGTGAAGTGAAGCTAGAGTATTATTGATCATCAAATCATGTGAATGATCAGAAGGAGATGAGTAGTGGTTTTTTTATTGTCAAATGAACAGAACAGAGAAATCAAACAATTTTAATAGATCACAATGTCATGAAACTTCAAATTTATCCTTTATTGTTTATAGTTGAAAGATCACCATCTTCCATTTTTCACCAACCCCTTCTGCAACTTTCAATGGACAACCAAACCAAAAAAAGAATGTGTTTTATAACATATCATTTAAGCAGATATTGCCAGTTTGACATTGATTAGGTAGTGATATAAGAACTACTTCAAGCAAAAATAATTAGCAGATTTGCAAAGGATATTTCATAAAGAATTAAAATTGCTTGTGAAATATAATTGCATCTAGGTGTCTCGAGACAACAAGAATGGTAAACTTTAGTGACAAAAGAGGATAAGCAAGACACATGGGTGGCGAGGACGTCTCCATCACCTTCTTTTATGCACAACTATTCATTCAATTCTTCAAGCTAATTGTGAATCGTGATGACTGGTGAATAATGTAATAAAGTATGATAATTTATAACAGCCGTAGCCACAAGTTTGCAGGCATGTCAAAGATTGATCATCAGTGATCCCCTCATCAGTGGCTCCTCTACCCACGGCCGCTCATCAAACTCTTTCCCTTTCTCTCCTCCATTATCTACCTACCTCTCTTCCTAAGCCTTCCCCCTCTCTTTCAGTTCTTACTCCCAACACCATATCAGGCTTCAAACAATATTCACTATCTTGACTTTGAGCACAGCACAAGATCTTTCAATCGAATTATCAGCTCGAGAAAGGTTGATTGTTCTCTTCTATGGAATACATTGGAGTATTAAAAAAAAATCAGACGAAGACCAAAGCTTCATCCTAGACTTTGTTTAAACCCCTCATCCGTTGGTTGTTCTTAGAATTTTGACATATAATTGACTGGACTACGAACCTTCACTTATAGTTAGCCATGTAAGGTGAAAAAACTATGCAGAACATAGATTTGTAAGCATAGTAAAGAGTTTAGAGCTACTATTGTCCCAAAAAAAGAAAAAGCTAAGAGCTACTGTAAGCAGTGCAGAACCAGTACAGTTTATTATTCTTCACCAAAAATTTGCCATCATGAAGCATCCATGGCATCAGACCACAATGAAATGTTAAAATAATAATAATTCAACGTTAGAGCAATCCTCTTCATTAATATTAATGGATAACTTTACTCTAATATCAGGATATATGCTTCCTTACTATGTAAGATCATTTATACAAGTTGATTATTAGGGAAAATTTATTCATCATACTTCGATTTTTAAGAGACAATAAAATGCTAGCAGGTACTAAAACTTCTATGAGAGATCAAAAACATTTGGAATCATTTCATGCTCAGATGATGGAAGATGAGATTCATAGTTAGTAGGATGGGTCCATGGAGCAGCTTTTGGGGAGAGAAAACAGAACTCACCAGATAATCGACCAACTATTTTTCCCCATGGGTCAATGATTAAAGAGTCACCATAACTCTCTCTTTTCTCATTATGTTTTCCTGCTTGAGCAGCAGCTATGACCTGACAACACGTTTATGTTTCTTCCTCAGAGTAGAAGTTTGCAATAAAGCAGAATGAAAGGCTTCCAAAGTCACTTGTCCCAACATCCTTTAAACGAAAAGAAAAATTGGTATGCTAGTGTATTAATGAAAAGGAATTCTTACATAGCATTGATTCTCAATTGCACGAGAACGAAGAAGAATTTCCCAATGTGCCTCCCCAGTTACTTTTGTAAAAGCTGAAGGAACCAATAAAACCTGATGTAATCCAAATTCAAATGTTAACAGCTAGAAAATATTATCTCGATATACAGATTAAAAATCTTTCATACCTGAGCGTTATGTTGGAATCTCAACTGCTGGTAAAGCTCAGGAAATCTCAAATCATAGCATACAGTCAGACCAAGGCGTCCGATAGGACTGTCGACCGCCACAACATCTTCTCCTAAAATAGAAACAAATTATTAATAAAATTATTTATCTAATGGGCTTTATATGGTAGGATATTCTTAAAATAAAGAATAAAGAATAAAATGAGGGGAACCATTATTCATATTTATGCATTAATGATTCGTATTACATAAAGATGTTACAGAAGTTACCTGCCTTTGTGTAGTTGCTTTCTTTATATACCCTTCCACCAGGAACGTCAACATCGAACCTTTTCATAAAAAAAATTGCATAGCATAAAGACAAAGCATTCAGAAAAATGCAGGAAATGTATTTATAAGTCACATTAGCTTCCAACAGAAACGAAGTTTCACTATTGCAAATGTAAAATTCAATCAAAGGCACGAAAGTATATAATCTCTGTCTCTCTCTCACAAAAACACACGCATTAATATAAATTAAATTGCAAGTGTATTACAGATGTATTTTCCTATAAGTGCTTCTGATAATTCCAGTCTCATCAATTACGACATGTGTATTGTAGAAATGTTCATCATCAGGTCCCTTTTCTTGGAAGCCTCCAAGTGATAGCCATATGCTAGATTCTCTGCAAATTAACTCAAAATAAACAGAAATTAGGAAACATTTTAAAGATGTTTATGAATCATTACTTGATACAGCAGGTTATGCCTGCATCCACGAACTGAAGAGCAATTTAACTTATGTGTGTTCGCAATATCTTCTGTAGAGAAGCAACTCGCACAAAAAGATGCATCAAAATTAGTATGATAGATATTAAAATTCAAGAAAACAAGTTCGTTTTTCTTGTCTTAAACAGAGATGTAACAGTTCAAGAATTATGAACAACCTCGCTACGGAGCAGTATTGATTCATAATTGGTCCGTCTAAAGGCTCCGCAATCTTTAGACCTTCCCCATCTTTGGCAGGCATAAAAGAAAAATCTTCAGGGAAGCATATCAGTTTTGCTCCAGCTGAAACTGCTTCCTATGAATATATAAATAGCCACGTTACATTGTTCATCTGAGAGCAAAATTAACGATGAATCCATTTTATATGGCCAATAAATCGATCAGTCAGATATCAAATCCACCTCCCTTTCTTATCAGGAGCTCATAGATTAAACTTCAAATGACATTTACCTAACAAACAATACAAGAAACTAGCCAGGAAAAGGAAAAGAAGAAGAAACTAGGACCGATAATTTACACTTCAAAAAGGTATTTCATACAGAAATTAGGCTGTTGACGACCTTGATGATTGATAATGTTCCGATCAATTATGAAAGGTGTTCAAAACTTTGTAGATATCGATAACAGTAATTCCAACGATTGCAGCGATGAAAAAGAAAAAGGATAATTGAGATACTAACAATGAAGAATGCTGTGAGTTAACGTACTTTGACGAGGCGAGAACAGATGGCGAAGTTGGAAGAGAGGTCGTTTATGGAGGTCATTTGAGCGGCGGCGACTCGAACGGAATTAACTGCCATGTCCGATCCTCCGGCGACGGCGGTTGCGAAATTCGAACCGATCAATGGAAGATTTCCTGGAGGTAAGCCGATTGGTGTAGGGAGACTAATCAGATTGTGTATGGTAAATAGTCTCAGAGAAGCGGACATCTCAGCTTGATCGCATCCACGTTTTTTCTGAAATCTCTACTGGTTGAACTGGAAATGTAAAAAATTATTATTATTATTATTATTTCTTTCTTTATTTCTTCTTGGAAATATTAAAAGTATTGAAAAATACGGATATCCCTCCTCTACAAACATAGATGGTAATAGAGATTCGAACTTATAATATTTTGGTTGTAGGTATTTTGACGATGATACTTATTTGTGGAAACAAATCCTAATAAAATTTTATTGAAACCTATAACAGATGTGATTCCATCACCGTCAAAGCGAGTTCAATGATAATAGACATGTACCTTTAATTATGAAGTTGTGAGTTCGATCCCCGTACTAAAAAATGTGATTCCGTCACTATAAATAAAATGTAAAATAATTTGGGACGATAAGTGTCCCATTTATTTTGAAATTGCTTTTTTTTTAATGAGAAATACGAGTAAAATCAATGATAAATTTATTTGTATGTTGCATCATTTTTTATTAATGATAATTGTTAAATAAATATAATTCAAACATCGATATAACCATAACTCAATTAGTGCATCACGATCAAAGTATAAAGTTTCCAGAAAAACATCTATATTTTCCTTAGTCTATGGCATGGGTAGTAAATAAAATTTTAATTATATTGTAAAAATTAAAGAAGTATTAGAAAATATTAACATAACTCATAACATTTTTTAAATATATTTAAAATTATAAAATATTTGTTAATTTAGATAATTTTTATATTTTTTCAAAAAATGTCCACGCATGTGGAAGATATATAACAATAAAATTTGAAACTAAAAAAATAATTTTGTTTTTAGTTTCGTATTTTTAAGATTCTTAAGAACACATATGAATTAAAATATAATTTTTAAATTTTGGTAAAGATTTTGAAACGTTTTAAATAAAATAAAGAAATAAAAAAAAATTTAGTTTACATATTAAGTTAAACAAAATTAATTTTTTCATTTTTCATTTTTTCTTAAAGAGAGGAGGGGGAAAACACGGCCGTTCATATGGAATCTCTCAAAAGGAACGTCCGTAGGAGCAAATTGCATCAATTGTTGCAAAAGAAAGCAGTTGAAAATGGAAGAAAATATGCGAAATGGAACTTCTGAATATTCAAATGGTGTCTTTTGGTATCAGATTAGCGCCTTTCTGAAAGAATCGAGAGCTCATTTTACCAGCGAAGAGAAGGCACAAGCGATGAAAGTTGGTCAAATCTGCTTTTGCAATCGGAGGGTTTATCATTTCTCACTCCTCTGCTTTTCAGTTTCTCTCTCCTAATTTTCTCTGAGTTTCTCGAGAAAGTGATCTGGAGGAATATTGTTTTTTATTGGTCATTCAAAATTTTTTAGGGTTTTTTGTTGTTTTTTGTTGTTGCCAATTAGGAAAGAAGACGAGCAAAAGTAGCCGAAAATGGTGGGTTCGTTAAAGGTCAAAGTCAAGAGCCCGGGCAATAAATTAGAAAACCAAAACTGAAAAATACCAAATTCAATCAGCTAAAAAGAGGCCCTTGGAAAGCGAGGGCTTTTTTGTTTTCGTTTCTTAAATTGTTCCCAAACCAAGGGATTCTGTTGTTGGAGAGTGATCCATCTGTTTCTTTGGCTCAAAGAAACAGAAAAAAAGAAAAGAAAAAAAAAAAGAAAAGAAAAGGAAGCCTGAGGACGGCCAACCATACTTCAGGAATTCTCTCTTTCCAGATCTACCCCGTTTCAACGTTCTGACAGTTTTATTTCTTCTGTCAGAACATCCCAAAACTCTTTTTTACTCGATTCCCTAGTTTCGTTTCTATTATATAATGCTTTTCTGAGTTTGTAATTAAGCAGTTTTGCAGAAAAGAGCCTGCAAAATCCCTCGGGAATTTGTGCTCAAGGTTTGTAAAAGTAACTTCCTTTGCTTCGTAATCTTCATTGTACCTAGGTTAAATTTTGTAAAGATGGCGATTGCATTATAGTTCTCTTGGTTACGGCCTTACCTATAGGTTGTACCTCTATGCCCTTGAGTTCTAAGGCATTATAGTTATTTTGGACGGTTTATTATTAGATACTGTTCTCGGTACTTGTACGTATCAATTTTTGTGCTGTCTTTTATTTATTGTGACTATTGTATTTGCAGTTTCTACGTATTACCCATCAAGAAAATGTTTTCTCGTTGAAAGATTAATGGTGTCTGCATTGATCAATGGCTTTCTGACATCTGATACTTGTTATTTCGGTTCATATTTGTGAACGAAATCGAGCAATCTTCTGGTTTTAATACTACCCTTCCGGTCCATTTGAAGAATGGTTTTTTATGCTGGAGCATTTGGGTGAGAATATGTAAGGGATGGTATCCGAAACATTGATGAAGATTGTGTCACCCTGCTGGAAACCGTCTGTTGAAGGTGAACATTCTAGCAGGGGTGGGGATGCAAGTGGTCGGGTTGATGGGCTGTTGTGGTACAAGGATTCTGGACGCCATATCAATGGCGAATTCTCGATGGCAGTTATTCAGGCAAATAATTTGTTGGAAGATCGCAGCCAACTCGAGTCGGGGCCATTGAGTTCATTTGAATTGGGTCCTCATGGAACTTTTGTTGGAATCTATGATGGCCATGGAGGTCCGGAAGCTGCAGAATTCATAAATGATCGTCTGTTCAATAATATGAAGAGTAAGTTTTACATCTACTTATGCTAAATACCTCTTGTACCTTTTCCTCTTCAAGTAGTTTGAGCTTCTTATTTGCATATAAAGTGGTGGTCCTTGTTACATCAAAATAGTGAGTTTGCGATGATTTTGAGGAACATGGCTTTAAGTTAAGTTTGAAGTATGCACTCTAGGAAGAAGCACTAATATTCAAAATTGCTTTGCTTATCTAACCTAACATTATGAGAATTTTGAAAAGTGCATTTAATTGGTTAAATGCACTTTTTACCCTCATCTCAAACTCACCCTAACCATCATTTTGATTCCTCCTTTAAGTAGCAGACAAGGTAAATGGATCGAAATCTTGAAACTTTAACATTCCTAGACGTTGTCCTAGAAGATGAATTAGAAGAATTTGATTGCCTCAATGAAGGGCATGATGAAATGGCATTAGAATTATGGAACAAAGTAACAAACCATTAAGTGGAAATGGATGTTTACCACACTTGAGTGGCGTGTGTGAGAGAGGAACCATAGCATTCTGTGGAATTTTAGTCTTTTATGTGAAAATGTATGAAATAGAACAAGATTGTTCGAGGACCTCAGCATTTTGGTTGTATGAAAATACCTTGGCTTCTACAATATGCTGAATTTGCTAATATGCTGATTTAGAGGAAAGTGACAATATTCTTTCGAATATGAATTTGCCGTAAAGCTAATCTTTAAAGTGCATTATCAAATTTAAAAAAAAAAAACCGACTGCCTCCTTTTAATGGGTACATGTGGGATTAGAAAGTATGTTCTTGTACATAAAACTTCTTCTAGATCGTAATTGAAATTAGCCTAATTTGATGCCGAAAGCTAATGATGGAAGGAAAGATGTGGAGCCTGGGTGCGATTTGTGAGTGCTTATGGTCTTTTACCAATTTCTATTATATAGCTAATGCGAATGTTTACACTTGACAGCTTTTCATGGTGCAGAATTTATTCCAGAAAACCAGGGGGGAGTATCAGCTGAAATTATCAACAAAGCATTCTTGGAGACAGAGGAGGAATTCTTGTCTCTTGTAAAGAAACAATGGCTGATTAAGCCGCAAATTGCTTCGGTTGGTTCATGCTGTTTGGTAGGCATAATATGTTGTGGATTGCTGTATATTGCAAACGCTGGGGATTCTAGGGTGGTGTTGGGAAGATTTGAAAAAACGCTTAAAGAGGTTAAAGCTATCCAATTGTCATCTGAGCACAACGCAAGTATTGAATCTGTGAGGGAGGAGTTGCATTCATTGCATCCCAATGATCCGCAGATCGTGGTGTTAAAGCACAAGGTGTGGCGCGTAAAGGGTGTGATACAGGTTTGTTCTCAAACCTTTGTCTTCTTGAATGTTTTCTGATTTCATCATTGCTTAAGTTTTCAGATAGAGCAGGTTCTTTTCCTATTTTGTTTGAGGTTAAATTACAAGTTTAATCTTCGAACTTTTTCAGATGGGTCTAATAGGCCCCTTAACTTAAGTGTCTAATAGCTCCCTAACTTTCACTTTCATGTCCTGAACTTTAAGAATATATATTTTTTTGGGATAAGAGACCTTTTATAAACAAAAACAACTTAAGGGCAGGGGAAGAGAGAACTCTCTCTTAGAAACTACGAAAGAATAGCTCTCCAATCTTGCATAATCATCGAGATGCTAAAATTACAAAAGAATTTTATATATCTATGACACCACCAAGAAGTGTGGAGCTGATAAGTCTTACAAAATATCCATCTTAAAAAATTTCATATTTTCTTTCCAACCAAATATTTGATAGGAAAGCTCTAGCCGCACAATTCCAAAGGATAGTCCATAGATCCATAAACTTTCAATTTTGTATCTAATAGATGCCTGAGCTTTAAAATTGTTTAATAGGTTCTTAAACTTCAATTTTGTGTCTAATAAGACTTTGACCTTTCAATTTTGTCACTAATAGCTCGGTGAATCTTAACAAATGGGACTTATTAGACACTACCTTGTAATTTAAACTTTATTTTATATGCTCTAAGAAAGGTTTTGAATGTTCTATATATTGAAAAAGATATTTTTACAACCACTAACCTAGTTATCTTTTCCAATACCACCTATTTATATAACAGATGGTTAGAGAGATTCTCCAAACAATGCAATAAAATTGGGTCAATGTAGCTGAAAAATTAGTTATGAACTTTAAATTATCACTCTTCTGATATAGCTGTTCACGTGTAGGTCTCAAGATCCCTTGGTGATGCTTATCTGAAGAAAACAGAGTTCAACCGAGAGCCACTTTTGCCGAAGTTCAGGTTGCCTGAACCATTCCACAAGCCAATTCTTAAAGCCGAGCCTGCTATCGTAGTGCAGAAACTGTATCCAGAGGATCAGTTTCTTATATTTGCTTCAGATGGCCTTTGGGAATATATAAGCAATCAGGAAGCTGTCGACATCGTCAATAGTTGTCCACGTAATGTATGTTTTCTTTTTCTTTTGCTCTCTCTCTCTCTGTTAGGCTCTCATGTGTGACATTTTCAATTGCTGAGGTTTTTGCCCTCCTAAGAAAATGAAATTGACTCTTGGGATGCTTTTGCTGCTGTTAATAAAAAATAATATGTTACAGGATTAAAACTTGGATATAATCAAATAGTAAGCACTTCTGTCTTTGCAACAACATTTAAAGCTAACAAGACAGGGCCAGGGGATATATATCTTGGGAAGGAAGTGTTGTCTGATTCTCACTCTAATGCCTCCTTTTGACTTTCTTCTTGTAATCTGTTTAGTGAATTCTCCCTTTAACTTTCATTACAAGTGATTCGAGCTCGTCTCTATAATTGATCTTTTGTTGCCTTGTTTTTTATTTCCTTAATCATCTCTTCTCGTTGCTCTTTCATTTCTCTCAATGGAAGTCGTTCTCGACTCGAATGTAGAAGAAGGGCTCTTATGTTGTTTACATGACTGACTGTGTTCAGGGGATTGCAAGGAAACTTGTTAAAGCTGCTCTTCATGAAGCTGCAAAAAAGAGAGAAATGAGATACGCGGACTTGAAGAAGATCGACCGTGGGGTGAGAAGACATTTTCACGACGACATCACTGTTATAGTTTTGTTCCTCGATTCCCATCTGATTAGCCGCAGTCCGAGCTACGGACCGATGCTATCAATCAGAGGAGGTGCTGGTATCCTCACTAAATCATCATAGTTTGTGAAGCCTTATTAGCATCATCATCTCCTCTTATGCTCTTACACCCACCTCTACCCCCCATTTTTCTCATTTGTATTGCAAAATGGTTTTTGTGTTCAAAAGAGGAGAGATTTGGAAACAAAACCCTTTTCTTTTCCCTTTCCCCCTTTCCTTTTCTTTTTCTTTCTTTCTTTCCTTTTGTGTCTTCGTTTTTAATGTATAGCCATGGATTTTGGAAACTGTTATTCTCTAAGAAGTCTCCTTATTGACATTTTTTTGTCAATAGTATAGAGAGATTAGATAATATTGATGAGGAGTGTTCAATCTCTAATTGTGTGGTGATTTGCATTTCTTCAAATTTGAAGGCTATCGTCTTGTATTCTCGAGCAATTGCTAGGTTGGTTCAACGTATTATTGAAGGTTCAAATGTTCCTACTCCCAACTTTCTAAAATAAATTAAGACAAACATTTCAAAGAAAAAGGAAGGAACAATATTTGAAAAATGGTTAAAAACGAGGTGTTTAATTATTTTAGAAGAATTTTTTTCCCTAAATTAAAAGAATTGTGCTTTAGACCTTCAAAAAATTGTGCTTTATGGGATGCAAAATCTTATCCCTCATTATTGACCAAGTTCAAGTATAAATAATTCTTTCTACCATATTGGGAACTGAACATGAAAACTCATGAAAACTTAGGATGCCATTACGTAAATCAACTTAAATGCTCCACTGTTATTTAAAAAAGAAAAAAAATCTGAAACTGCAATCTCATTTTCTCTCTCTTCTCGATTTTCTCCCTCTCTCTCTTCTTGTTTTCTTTGTTCTATCCTTATCGTTTTGTTGTTTTCTTCGCGAAGGTATTCAACGACGTCTTTCATAAACAATTTTCTACCCTTACATCGGGAAACCACCTCCTCTTTTTCGATCCTGAATTGTGAACAAGATCTACTTTACGCTTGCAGTGTTCTTCAAATGGCGGAAAAAGCGAGACGGTTTCTTTCATTTCTTCGTTGAAGATAGAGAAAATTTGAGAGAGATGGAAGAGAGAGAAGGAACACAAAGAGAGATGAGGGAGAGAAGAGGATGAAGAACGAGATTGTCTTTGAGAAAGACTATTCAGACTTCGAATTTCCAACCAAACGGACTAAGTATTGAGAAAAATGAAAAGAATATAAGTAACTAATGAGGACGTTGGCCCTTTTTCACCAATATATATGTGGGGTGTGAGAGACAAATGTGCAATATAAAATAATGTAATTAGTAAATTGTAATAATGTAAAATTTTATTTTCCAATATTATATCACAAATAGGATAGTATGTTTGGAAATTAAAACAAAAATGATAACATTATGACTACTCAACTACACATGATATATATGAAATATTGTTCAGTAATTAGAGAGAATTTTTAATGCTAAATCTGTAAGTATACAACTCTATTATACCATTATGCTAATCTGAATATAACTCAACCAATAAAGGAACTATTTTCGATTAAGGTCTCGTTTACTTATCCGCAATCGTAATGAAAAATTTGATTCCCTAATGTTTACCAAATTGTAGGAATGTAATAAAATTATCGGACTTACCTCAAACTTTGTAATCTCATTACATAAAAGGTGTAATCCTATTACAGTCCTATAATCTCATCAATCATATTCTCATTCCTTATTTTGTGGACTCCACGTATATATTATAATTAATGTATCTCTTTTACCCTTTCTATCTCATCTCATATAATTTTTAATTAGTTTTTTTATACTTATATAATTTCTTCTCCATTTATACTCAAATATTTATCAGTTGATGTGATTTTATTATATAATATAATAAATTAATATTAATTAATATCAATAAATTTTTAAATAGATGTTATTACTTTTAAATATTAGAATAATAAAATTTAATAATATGTTATATTAAAGTTTTGTTGTTGCAATAAAAAATATTTTATTAATATGTAATTTTATTTTAATTACTCATTATATTAATATTAGATAAATTGTTATAATAAAAAATATTTATTATCAATAATATATTAATAAATTAAATTAAAATTTAATATTATGGTAATTTAAAAAAGATTAGTCCAATAATATATTTGTAATTATATAACTGTATATTAGTAATTGTCATATATCTGATTCCAATACCGATTACAGACAGTTTCAGTAAATAATATCAAAAAAATTATTCCATAAAATTTCTACTAAACAACGACAATGGAATAACATTACGATTCGGATTGATTTTGATTACAATTGATTTCCATTACGTGGTCTAAAAGGTTTTGAGTTCGAATCTCGGTCGTATAGTGTAAGAATATATTTTTTTTTTTATTTATTTATTTCTTTTTTGCGCTCAGATTTGCTATCTGCATTTGTTGAACTGATATCGTGCGTGGTTGCAAATCACAATTCACAATCAGCCATCCAAAAACTCCAAAACGCAGAGAAAGCGAGGGGTAATTGATCTGATTGATACCATAACATTACCGACCCATGCAATTCATTTCATAATCATGGCTTCTTCTACCACAGTGGGCACCACCATCGGCTTCTCACCGCCCTCGTCTGGTTCTGCTCTTTCAGTTTCTTGCATTCTCTCTTCGGCCAGGAGATTAAGATTCCCGACCGCCATTCTGTCTCGTGTTAGCCTTCAAAAACAAGCATCTGGAAGGAGAGCCAGACCTGTAATTTCTCTCAAAATGGCTGCTGAGTATGTTACCTTCTTCCCTTCTTTTTATGCTGATTGGAAAATGGTGAAATGGAAGGGGTTGCGGATAGCTTTCTGCACGATTGATTACTTTCGTTTTTTTATTTTGAAATTTCTATGTTCTTATTGATGTAGTGTTTATATCGATGTTTCTTACTGATTTGTTTTGAATTTTCTGTCTGTGTTTTCACTTTTTGGTTTTGTGTGTGAAAGAGCTGTTCAGGAAGTTCTTCCTCCAGCCCTCACTTCGGCTTCAGAACCGCCTCCTCTCTTTGATGGAACAACGAGGTTGGTTCAATTTTCAACCCCACCACTCTAATTTCTGCCATAGTTTTCTTATTGATCTTTTTAGAACTTCTAGCTTTGGATATTAATTTAAATTGTGAATATCAATCGGTAAGAAACTACCTAAAGTTAGGCTTAGTGGTCATTGGGATTAATAAAAAAGAAGTGAAGTGTTTAAATGGAATAATGAGTTTAAACTATTAACCAACTTAGAAATCAATATCCTACGAGTTAGAAAGGATAGGAAACATCGTTGTGGTGCTTCAAACTTGAGAAATTATGTTAAATTATCACTGAACTTAAAGAACTTTTTTTAAACATCAATTTTGTCATTGCCAAAATCACCGCTAGTTGAAATAGTAATGTTTTTCAATGATGTAGATGTGATTTTAGAAATACCACTCCTAAACATACCTTCCATTGTTCTATACTAACGCCAATTTTGTGCTTCATTTGAATGTCCTTTTGATGCTGAAAATATAATGAAACTATTTGCTCCCAACAATTGTAGGCTTTATATATCTTATACATGCCCTTATGCGCAGCGTGTGTGGATTACCCGGAACTGTAAGGTTATTTCTATGACTCTGCTAAATAACTTCCATTGATTTAGAAGCATGTTTTGTTGTGTTTCATGTTGAGTTATCGTTTCTTTGGAAGTGAAACTTCTCATTTTGATGATCAACTTTGCTCTCCTTGACCTGAATCATAAGTTCATAACATTGTTTTGGTCTTGGAGCAGGGTTTGCAGAATAAGATACAGTTAGTTCCAATTGATCTACAAGATAGGCCACTTTGGTACAAGGAGAAAGTTTACCCACCTAACAAGGTAAATATTTTTCACAATCATAATCATGGTGGTCAAATAAGGACGTTAAGTTTTTTATTTACCTGTTAAGAATAAAGAGTCACGAGTCACAAATGCTTCAACCTGACACCATGGAGCCTACCTAAGTCATTTTGACAATGGCAGGGGTGGAGCTAGAGGTTTTCATAAGAGGGGCAAATTTTTWCATTCAAACATTTATATTTATATAATTAAGGGGATATTGGAGAAAACTTTAAATTCTTAATTTTTTAAGGTTGAATTATAAGTTTGGTCTATGAACTTTCAGTATTGTATCTAATAGGTTTGAATTTTAAAAATAGTAGATCTTTGCAGTTTCAATTTAGTGCATTACGGGTCACCTAGCCTATTAGACAATTTTAAAGACTAAACTTGTTATTTAATCTTATTTTATACATACTATTGCATCAAAAGGCAGTCACCTCCCCCGCTCGCTCCTTTCTTCTTTGCTCTTGGATTTGTCTCTAATGACGAGATTTTGATTTTAGGATTAAAACGAGAGTGAGTGACACAAAAAGTCAGCACAAATTTTTGCTTAAAAAAGTGACCACTGAACTGATCTCTGCACTCAATTTCTGAGGATGGCCATTGTTGATACAACTAAGCTGCCGTCCATCCAGTTCATCTTTGATGTTTTTTACTTGAAGTATTAACACAGGTACCAGCTCTCGAACATAACAAGGAAGTCAAAGGAGAGAGTCTTGACTTGATTAAATATATTGACAGCAATTTTGTGGGGCCTTCATTATTTCCTGATGTAAGTAGTATCCATGAAAGTTTTTTTTTTGGACCTCATAAACTCGAGTTACATATCGCTATTGATCAGTTCTAAAGTGTCATAATCTGAATTATATAGGATCCAGGAAAGAGAGAGTTCGCTGAAGAGTTGATTAACTACATTGACTCTTTCAGGGGATCTGTGGTTTCTTCATTTAAAGGGGATGGAAGTGAAGCTGGTGAGATAGCAGCAACTTTTTTACTTTTCCATGTCGTTGATTTTTACAGGGAAACAAAGTTGAATCATTCAAATGTGATATATCTTTTGTCAGATGCAGCGTTTAACAACATCGAAACAGCTCTTTTGAAATATGACGACGGCCCATTTTTTCTAGGCCAATTTAGTCTGGTAAGCAATGACTTTCACTTTGTACCGAAGCTTATGGACTTTACATCATTTATTGTAGATGTCGATGTCGATGCTAATGGAAATATCCTTACAGTCAACTAATATTTCTATAAAAACCATGAGGATTAAAAAAAAAGAACTTATATAAATCATTTAAATCAATAAATAAGTATTTCACACTCCTTTAATGAGTTCTAAAACATTGTTAATAATACCTACCTTCGTATCGCTAACATCTTTTAACAATTTTTATATTTTGTTGATATTTTCTAGATGTATCAAAAATATCAATGGACCCCGGAACTAATGTAGAACCATTCAATGATGGACATATCTGTTTTTTTCAATTATCTTTATATAGATTAGTTATTGTACAATTTTCATTCACTCTCAGGTGGATATAGCTTATGCTCCATTTATTGAAAGGTTTCAGCCGTTCTTATTGGAAGTAAAGGCATATGACATCACTGTTGGTAGACCAAAATTGTCGGTTTGGATCGAGGTACTGGAGAAATCTCTCTAATCTTTTAAAAAAATGGTTTAGTTCACTCTTCATCAATTATGAGTGATGAAACTATGATGGAATCACGGAACAAAGAGCTATAGAGTGGCCATTAATCATCACTTTGATATATTGATCTCATGTTCATTAATCATCACTTTGATATATTGATCTCATGTTAAAATATGAAGCGGTATTTTCTAACTTGAGTATAATTCAACTGGTTAAAGAATTGGTGATGGTAAGTTTGGATCTTCATCTCAGGTTTGAATTATAATATTAAAAGAAAAAAAAATAAGTACCCATATCTGAACGACTTTTCACCTTGAATTAGACAAGATTGAAAGAACAGTTTGGCACTAGGGGTGCAATGTTTAACCTACGAGTTCTGAACCAGAGTAACTGAAATTGATAAAATCTGTCCAAACCAAACCAACAAATTATTTTTCGGTTTTATACTTTAGAAAATCAAATGAACAATTTGAACTAATGACCACGGTTTGAGTCAATTTCACTGTTTTTCTTTCTTTTTTCTTTTATTTTTTGGATTTTGACTTAAAAGCGCCCCTATTTGGCTGATACAACTCTAAAATTTCTTTCTATAAACGGGGTTTTATAGATTTGGCTCCCTTTTGTTGCGCTGGTTTTTGCGTTACCTGCACGTTATTTCATTTGTCTTAATGCAAAGCTCGGTTTCTTATTGAAAAAAAAAAAAGAGTTCTATAATATCGCCTTATTTTCTGTTTCTTAGGAGATGAACAAGATCGAGGCTTACCGACAAACGAAGAGCGACCCACAGGAGCTTGTTGATAGCTATAAGAAGCGGTTCTTGGTAATTCTCTCTTTAATTTCCATTAATGTTCTCTTTTAAATGAGCCTCTCTCTTTTTTTTTTTTATCTTTAACAATCAAAGCAATTCTCTTACATAGAAATTAATGCAATTTTTGGGCGATTCATGATTGGAGAAACATCTTACTGTTAAGATCCATCAGTTATCACATGAATGGATGAATTATTTTCAAAGCTTAATAAATAATTATTGGCCGAAAAGAATGTAATGTACTATTGTGATGTGACTAACAGTTATTGAAAATTGAATGACGAGAATGAACAATTTTGGATACTTTTCATGAATTGATGAGATTCTAGATCTGCCATTATATCGTTTTTTTCCTGTGCAGGCCCGTATGTGAAAGCCGATAGCAGCAGAGGCCCCCATGGCGCCGAACAGTGTGCTGTGCACGTGCATAGTTGCTTCTTTGTAATAAGATAACTTTTTGTGCAGTACTTCACAAAAGAAAATGCAAATTTTTTTTTTGTTCTACAGGGATATGAACTGTCTACGTCAACATCGTGAAAATGATGTTGGGTTTACCAATACTAAAAAGTTAATGTATAAAAGTAGAGTGTGAATAAATTGAGTATGGTAGTTCCGTGGTAACAGATTTTTTCCCATTGTACCTTGTTCCCTTTTCTCAAGATGGGTTATTGTAGGGTGTGAATGAAATGTAATAGTTTCTCAAGATGGTAATTATGTATAAAAGTAGAGTGTGAATAAAATGTAATAGTTTGTGTTAATGCAATTGGCGCGTGCCACTTATGCTTTTGAGGCTCCGGGTATCCTACTAAACAAAAACTTACACTGGTATGGAGCTCAGCGAAACGTCCTATGATGTCTAAGTTAGAACTTGGTAAGAGCAATTTAGAATGGTAAACTAAGGTTTTTTGCGCTCGGTCTCTGACTCGGTGTGCTAGGCACCTTCTCTTTTTGGGCTATAGGATCCAAAATTTTAACCTCGGATCCACATGCGGTAAAGCTCCACGTGGCATTCCGGAGGGTCCGGTTTCGTTTTCAATTTAGACAAAAATTAAAATTAACCAAACCAACCACGTCCTCCTTCAAAAACTAGCTCTGCTTATTTTAAAAAGTCTTTCTTTTATAAATTAACATTTCCATGTACTTCTCTCAATTAATTACAATATATATAATTAAAAAAATTACAAATTATATTTTAAGAACAATTAACAATTCTACCATTAAAATTCATTAATAGTTTGGTAATAAATTATTGAACTCAAAAACGAAATTAGTATCAAACTATTATCAATTAATAACTCCAGTACAATAACTTTCAAGTATTTGAGGGACTCAGAAGCCAAATCTCTCCTTTTTAAGTATTTTTTTCTCAAACTTAAACTAACTAAACAATTTTCTCCTCCATCTTTCTCACTTTATTTACAACAAATTCCTTAACTAAATAAAAATATACACTTAATAACCTACTAATATTACAGAATAATAATCATGGCTACTCCAACAGCATTGATTCATGAAAAACATGGCTATTTTCAAAAGTTGCTCTAATTTGAGAACAAAAATCTTCTCAGTCACTTGATCCATTAATTGAATAAAAGAAATTCAACGACTAAAATAAGTTCTGTAAGAAAATCTCCAAGCAGGCCCTTTAATGTTATGGGAACATATTAACCTTCAATTCAATCAGATTGTCTTCCAAGCAAAAATAAAATTAAATATCACTTCAATCGAGAGATCTCGATACGTCGAGTCTGCTGTTCTACTACAACATTGTAGTTCCAACAAATTCCATCTAAAAAAATGGTAAAAATGAGATTTATCTACAAAAATGAAAACTCAGTACCCCTGGAAAATGCCTCAGGTCTATCTCAGCATATTGACAAGAAGACATAAGTGGTTGAATTTGAATATCAATGAGCATGAGACAAAGTGCAACATTATAGTTTCTTTTTTCAAGTAGTTAGTAAAATTTATAATTACATCTTCTTCCAAATTGCCAAAACAGACCTCATTCCAAATTTATTTCCAGCTTCTGCAGGTCTGCATCCATGGCTGCTGTCTATAGAACCTCCACAGATTGCAAGTAAGTCACTGGGGATAATGGCTTCAGCAATCTCTAAATTTTGGCCATTACCTACCAACGGAGCAATCGGGTAATTTTGGCCATAAGATGACCTTAGCTGTTCCATGTGTGGTCAAACAAAACAAAGCAAATTGAAAGGTTGGGTCGGGCTATTCTAGCGAAGTAAAACTTTCGAGATCTTGCGGGAATAAACAAATAGTGACCACACGGCAAGCCAAGCTGATATGTACAACAAGACCACACCGGTCGCTACTACAATTCCAGATCCTCCAAGACTGACAAAAATAAAATGAAATGAAACAGAGATATCAGATATGCAGATATGGGAGGGTCCATTTGATAATGTTTTTGTCTTTGTTAAGATATATTCAAGAAATATTCTGGGGATTTTCTTGAAGAATGTTTCAGTTTCATGTTGTCTGAGCTGTGAAAGATGGAGAGAAAATGAACCTGCTGTCTCGGCTAGCCAGAAGGGTGGTCAGCGCAACCATCTGTGTCGCTGTTTTCCACTTCCCCAAGTTATTTACAGCCACAGCCTATTTTTTGGCATATCGAGTTAGGAATCAAAACTTCATCGACTTGGACAAACTCAATTGCGTTTTCGGTATACGGAAAAACAAACCTCTAAAAGCTTACTATTCTGGGAAGCAGCCCATTCTCTAACTGCAGACATGGTTATCTACAATAAATTGAACTATCCATGAGATATCCATTATGAATTCGAAGATGAATCAAAGATACAAAAGCAGGAAGAAAGAGGGTTAAAAAACAGGAACAGGCACAATTGCCGTGTGCCATATCTGATGTAAGCAAGGGGAACACCAATAATTAAAGAAGGCATTCTCAAATTGAAGGTTCAACAAGAAAAACAAAAAACATCAATAACGTGAGAATATTTGTAAAAAAATTCAAAGGGTGTAGTAGGGAGAAAAAGACTTGAGATTTTTCTTATGAAAATAGTTGATATCGCACAAATAAGAAGGTAAGCAGCTACCAAAGGGAGTCTAATAAAGTAAACAACACTAAATAATAACCATTTAGTTTTTGTTTTCTGTTTTTAAAAATTAAGCATAGAAACATTACTTGGTGTGTGTTTCTTTGTTTTGCTATATAGTTTTTATAAACGTTTTCAAAATCTAAGCCAAATTTTAAAAACCAAACAGAGTTTTCCGATACTTATTTTTGTTTTTGAAATTTGACTAAGAATTCAAATATGTTTTCAAGAGGGGCGAAAAACTTACTAATGAAAGTGTACAAAATTAAGTTTACTCCTCAAGGAATTAATGGGATGGATCATACTCCTGATACCTCTTAATTATAAGCAAAATGCAAGGAGTCTAATCAAGGAGAACATAGCAACACTCATACACCACCCCCAACCAACCCCTGAGGAAATAGTGGGAGCAGGTCATATGCAAAATGCAAGGAGTAGGCCTGAGACCCCAATTATCAACAAAAAAAACCGGACAATGATACACAGATGCATTAATTGTAAGAAATACCAACAAGGCCAGAAAATGTATTACCTCCCTGCCAATAATTGCTATTGAAGGTAAAGTCAGAAGCCATGGAACACGACCAAACACAGAAACCTCCAAGGGTTGTGTACATAGTAAGATCAGTGTCGCAGCAACCATAAGCTGTAGTAGAGGAATGTTAGTTGATTAACAGAGTATTTGAATGATATCTAAACTGAACAAGATTGATTAAATTTCTTTCAACACATCAACTCGAGAGTCTGAACCTTATCTAAAAAGAAGGACAAACCTTATCTGCTACTGGATCAAGAAACGCACCAAAAGCAGAACCCAACCTCATCTGATAAATGCATTTAAAGATTAGGACCAAACTAATTGACACAACTATAAAAAACATAGCCAATACTCCCACCGTACTAGATACGGACTTCAAGCATGTGAATAACATACCTTACGAGCAATATAACCATCTAGCCAGTCCGTAACTGCTGCAGCAATAAATATACTGGTTGTTGCAGTCGTTCCCCACCAATTATCAACATAGAAGGCTAATAATAGAAACACACATGTTTATGATTAGCTTCAAGTGCACTAAAAATGGAATTTTACTTTGATTCCTACAAACTAGAGGGAAGTGGTTTGAGATCAACAAACCAATCATCAACAGAGAAGGCTAGTATAGAAATGTGTGCATTCTTTTACTAAGATCAAGTGCACTAATAATCACCGCTTTACACAACCAAATGCAGCAAAATACAATCAATAGTTTTCGGCGACAATTAGGGAACAAAATCAGGCATTCACGTTGCTAGTAGTAGACAACAATTTTAATCATGTATGGCCATCATAAATGTTTTAGACCCACAATAATCAACTGGATTTTACTTTTTCAGGTGAAAATAACAAAATAAAGTAACATGAAAGGAAGATTTTGTATAATAAAACCCTATAAAACTGTTTGTTACAAGTTCTAACTTCTAAGTGCACAAGTAATCTCAGCACGGCAATTTATCCAATAACTAGCTGAAGCAAAGATTAGCTACATTAATTAAGTAGAGTGATACTAACGCAAATCTAATCTCGTTTTCACAAAAAAAATAATAATAATAAAACAAAAAATAATAATAATAATAATATCTTATCTTCTGCAAAAACGTAATGTATGATAGAGAAAAATCCTACAGCGATCGTTATTACGAAACACATACAGGAACTGGTGACATTGATTTCCAACACAAGACCGATGAGAATAACCCGAATGCTAAGAAGCTATAATCGGAGCCAATTTCAGACCAAAAGCGTACGTCGTAACTCGAAACACGCAAGAATCAGAGATCTAACATTGATCGCGCATCAAATAATTCCAATCAGACGATCAAAACAAACACCATTGCGATAAACAAAGAAGAAACAAGTGAATGCATAATCGAACAACATACTGCAGACAAATATCGGGACGGCGGCCACTCGGGCAAGCGTCAGAATGGTGGGCAACGTGAGCAATTTGGAGCGTTGTGGTTCGTGTTGGTGCATTAACGGCGATTGAATGTCGCTGCGAAAGTCGTTTTCTTCGTACCAGCCATTATTATGGTCCTTGCTCTCCGAACCCATATCAGCCACAATTTCAGACCCGGCAGAGGGAGGAGAAGCAGAACCTGACCCTGACCCTGACCCGAAAACTCCTCCTCTTTTCTCGCTCGAATTGGACCTTTTAAACCCCAACAAGAAACATTTATATCCGCTACGAAACCCTAAAAATTTAGGAGGGCCCTTATCTTGCACGAGGCTTGCGCGTGGTGCTAAAATCCACCATCCACCTCCATAATTCACTGAATCTCTCTCTCCTCCTCCGCCCTGCAGAACCGGCGGCGGTGCGCGATTGCGGCGGCCGGCGGTGGGGGAAATGGAACGCAGCCAATTGTGGACGTTTCTGCGGGGAGAGTAGAAGGGGTTGTGGACATGGAAAGTGGCCGCCATTATCGTTGTCTGCTTAAGGCTTAACATTATGATAGGATTGGTGGTGGACGATGAATGGGGATTTCTTGGTTTTAGCTGGATTTTGGGGGAAAGTGCCTGATTTTATTTGAATTTTGCATGAATTTCATTTCTGTTTATTTTTCGTGTTTGGCTTGATCGACTGGTTTGTTTTCTAGATTTTGATTTTGGTTTCTCCATGGCCTCCCCCAAACCCACAATTTTATTTTGAAATATGCTTCAAGACATTGACAATTTTACAATGTAAAAATAATAATATGTGATGTTTGGAAATTAATCTCAAAGAAAAAATAATCCGTAAATATGATCATTTTTCATCTCCAATATCCGTCCACCTCCACATTTCCATTGACGTGTATCGGATTAATATGTCCATAGTAATACAAAAAAATCGATAAAATATCAATAAAATGTCCCTACTATATACATAATATTTATATTAATTGTTTTTAACAATTTATTTATAAATAGAAAAATATTTATTTGTTAATTTAAATATTTTTTACGAAATTTTTTTAATTTCTCTAACTTTTACATAATTAAACATTCATCGTCATCGATATTTTCATCAATATTTTCATGAAATTTAGACTTTGACATTTAAAATGTAGTCTACACGAGGTTTTAAATAATCAATGTCGATGCAAATGTTGAGGTCTTAATTTAACGGAGTCGATGAAAATATCGATAAAATTTCGTTGTCATAGGTGAGTGTCAATAGATATTTTGGAAAAAATGTTATAAAAATAAAAACTTCAAAAAATAATTAAATTAACAAATAATTGTATCACCATTTCTAAATAAGTTTGTTAAGAAGATTAAGATTAATATTACGTTTGTATTAATGAAATATTGTTGATATTTTTTATATTTTGTCGATTTGTTTATAAAGTATATCAATCTGTTGATATACTAAACCTGAAAAGTATATTACTGATATAGTATTTTGTATAATTGAGAAAGTATACCATTGATTACATTAGGTATATTGTGCTATACGTATGTAATTAATATACGAGTTTATATATTTGTCCAATTTTTGTGAAATATATTTTTTTTTCAAAGTAATAGATTCAACTAGAGACGGAGATAGAGTTTAAATATGATAATCTTTAAAATATAATGCCCCGAGTCCCGAAAATAAATGTGTACATTGTCAGTATAAGTAGTAACTATAATTTTTTTTTAAGCTTTCTTAACCATGCTTCTTTGTAGGGATAGTCACAGAGGACGCAGGGGTCAAGAGGTGCCGAATCCGGATTCCAAATCATGGTCCAAAATCCTAAACCTGACACGTTATTAAAATTGTGTTCTTGTTACATTCACTAATCAATTTGTGCTGAAGTTTGATATTATAGACACAGTTCTTTGGGTTCTTGCGTAATTGGTAAATATCTTGTTTAAAGTCTTTAGTATTAGATTATTTCAAAATTATAAATATATTGCGATTATTTATTAAATGATTAGTAAAATATTAAAGGCAATAACTTGTATATATTTTGTTTTTCTTTTTCTTGTACCATTTAAAGAGTAACACTTATCCTTTGAATGTTAAATGTGTAATATTTTTATTTAAAAAATTGTGGACCAAAATAAAATGAATATGAAAACTTAATTACAAATATTTTAAATACTTATTTAACATTTAACATTTGACTCTCCTGATAAAGTGATGATATATCACTCTACCAATTAAATTTTAATCAGATAAACCACATAAACAAATAGATGGAGAAATTAACAGACATGTCGTGTCAAATTCTATCAATTATAAATTTTTCGTTCAATATTGTAAAACTTGGAAAAAAGTCTCGAACCTTCGACGATTTTTATTTTATTTTTTTGCTTTCTTAACCTCTATAATCGTAATTAGCTTGATTGTTTGATGATATAGACCAAATAAAGATATAATTCGAAATTTAATAAACTAGTATTTGGATAAAAATTATAGATGTTAGGTATAATTTTCACTTTATATATATGTATACATATAGAAGAAGCCCACTTTCTGTACCCACACATTTCAAATAATTACTTATTTAGCCTATATTTATTTGGCTGAGTTTCCTAAATGATGTTTGATGATTAAAAGTGTTTTCTTTTAATATACAGTGTTTGATAATAAATGAAAAATAAATAAATAAAAGATTGCTTCAAAATACATGTTTTAATAATCACTCTGCAGATGATAACCTTAAAATATCATTTTTTTAACGTGATTAACAATCATGTAGTTTAAACATGAAAGAAGATTACTAAAAAAAATGTTTAAATTAAAATGACGGAGGAAGAGATTCAAACCTCAAATATTTAGAAAAGTAAGTTGTATTTCAACTGGTTAAGTTAGGTTCGTGTGTTATGTTAGAGCCAAACTAAAATTTGGAAGGTATATAAATGAATCTGTCTTTTATATTAAACATTATTTTTCAAGGAAAATTACAAATATGGGTAACAAATTGGTCCTTGTATTTTAAAAATTTTCAATTTAGTACATATGAGGTGAATTTAGTTTTAATTTAGTCCTTACAGTTTAGTCAAACCTCACAAATTGTCGGTCTCTTCGTGATGATAACATTTTTCTTTTGTGTAGAGGTGATGTGATGTACTTTATTTTGTCTCACCAAGTAAAAAATATAAGGAGATTATGTGAGGTATGAAAGACAATTTAAAAGTAATATATTAAATTTAATCAAACTCTAATGATCAAATTAGGAAATTTAAACCCATAATGATTAAATTAAAACTTTTAAAACCCGAAGCACCAAATTAAAATTATGTTTGATAGAGAAGTTAGGACTAAAATTGTAATTTAATATATATTTTGTAAATGACATTTATGAACCATCAATTTGAAAATTAAAGCACAATTTTTGTGTACCTTCGAGTGTTGGTTCAGTGACTAGAGGCTAAACACCTGAGATCCAGGTTCGAGTTTCAGAAAAAATTCTATTGTTCTACATAATTCAATTACAACTATACAAATTCAAACTTCAAACAAATTACACAAAATTAAATTTCTCAACTTGAAGCTTGGAAAATAGGGGTGAAGAAGAAGAGAATGAGCAATGGCTATCCACTTAACCTGTAATAATTCAAAAAAATATATAAAATACTTAAAATATCATAGTTTTTTTAATAGTTTGCCATCCTATATTCTTAGAATTGAAATTTAATATATAAAAGAGTTAGAATGACTATATTTCATAAAATTTGTAGCTCCATTCTTATTCACAAAGGATCCGGAATCAAACTTTAGCCTTAACATATTTTAATTGGTCAAATTATTACTAACATTCAAATGGTTTGAATTTTTGTCCTCTATTGAATTATATTATTCTAGAGATTGGTGTCATTTTAGTCGTGTACTTTTAAAGGTACATATCTAACTTATTTAACACAAAATTGAAATTTGTATCTAATAAAATTATCGTCCATCAATTTTCTGTTAAATAAATCTTTAAATTTTTAAAAACATCGACTGAGTAAAAGACCTATTAGATACAAAATTAAAAAAAAATTAAGGCCTTATTAGGGAAAAAAATGGAGAGAGTTGATAGATATTTTTAAAACTATTTAAATTTATTAATCGTGAAATTAAATGTTTAAAATTTGTTGGAGATTTTTTAAATTTTATTGATATGATACAAATTTCAAAGTTTAACCTATTAAATAACTTTGATTTTCAGAGGCTATCAAAAAAAAAAGGAAAAAAAAATTTGATTTTCAGAGGGAAAAAAAACTATTAAATAAGTAATCTCTCGCTCATAGTGCGGGGGACAAGTTCGCAGAACCAAAGTTGAAGCTCTGAAAACGCATGACAAAAACAAACAAACAACAATAATAGTAAAAAGAAAAACGAATTGCAGATTGACCCACGAATCACCCAATAACTACAACTCAACCCACATGGGTTGTCTGGTAATTAACAGTAGAATGAAGCGTAATTTACCACGCATGATAAAAACTTTGGATAAAAAAAAAAAGAGAGAAAATCCCACGTCGTCCCGAAAATCCTTATCGACATGTCGGATATTTTTCATTTTCTCCCAGGGCTATTAAAGTCATTTTATCCCAATTTAAATTATTCACCTTTTTATCCTTCACGAGCATAATGGATACCCACCGATTCCAAATGTAAAAAGTAGTAATAATAATAAATAGATACCCACCGGAAAGATTTAAATGTGTTTTTGACAAAAGTTTGTTTTGTAAAAAAAAAAAAAAAAGCTTTTATGTTCTGCTCCTCAAATGCATTTATTTTATTACTATTGTTTTTTATAAATGTAACTTCAAGGTGACGGAAATTATTAATTGTGAGAAGTACTTTTACGAATTTTCAAAGACGACTTTTTATGGTAAAATATTTAATTGTTTATGCGAATCCTAGTTTCTACGAAAAGGCTACCCATGAAAATAAATAAATCGAAAAAAAAAAATAATAATTTCGTGAAAAGTTGAACTTTTCAAATAATGTTATATATATATGGTTTTTATGGTAAAAAATGCAACTTATTCATGTTTAAGGTCAGATTTTACAAACTTATCTTAGGGTGAAATTTGATGAATTAAAAGTGTAGGAAAATTATTTATTTTTTTAACTACAAATTTAAGTTGGGTCTAATAACTTACTTTAACTTTAAAAAGTGTCTATAATAGGTATCGAGCTTTAGAAAGTGTCTAATATGTCCTTAAAGGTGAATGTTTAATTTTTTGTTTGATATACCCACCTACCAGACTCACTGTTGGCTTTTGTCTTAGTTGGTATATTATTTTATCTATGAGATACAAAATTAAAAATTTATAAATATATTAGATTATTTTTAAAATCTATTAAATACTATATTTAAAGTTTAGGGACCAATTATAAGTAATAATTTATAAAATTTAAGGACCAAATTTGTATACATATTTTTTTAGTCCAACAACAAATTAGATTAGATAGAGATTTGAACTATTTTTCGTCAAAGATATATGTTGCTGTTGGCCAAATTTATAATTTAACTAATATTCAGAAGAAAGGAAACAAATATTGATATTAAGAGCAAATTTGATAACATTCTTCTGGTTAGTTTTTAATTTTATTAAAAAAATTAAATATTTAATAACTATTTTTTTATAACGTTAGTTTTTAATTTTATTAAAAAATTTAAACATTTAATAACTATTTATATTTATATTTATAGTTTCTTATTTTTTATAAGTATTTTAAAAAGTTGTATGAAAATTTTAGAAATAACAAAAATAAGTCTATTATTTATTGTTACACAATATAAATAGAAATATTATTTTATCCTATGGAACTTGCATAATTTTATGTTCACTTGTTAAAAAGGGAAATCGAAAACAAGAAACATAAATTTTACCTCAAAAGACCTGAAAAAACTAAAGTAAATTCACACAAAAAAATACAATCATCATCGTTTAAGAAAAATACGAAAAAATTAAAACCACAAAAAGTAAATTGAGAATTGTCGGCGGTGCGATCGAGCGATCCAATGGCAAGATGGACCCCAATCCGAAAGTTCACGAGCTGACGTGTCCAAATCAGAGAAGCAAAGCAAACACTTTCATTTTTATTTTTGTTTTTCTGGCACTGTGAAATTACGAGAAAGGACACAAAAATCGAGAAAGCTCAAAAAAAGAAAAAAAAAACAGTACGTTATAATTCCCCTTTGCTTCGTTTCATTATCTTGGACTCTGTGCTAAGTTACCAGAGCCAGCCTCCCCTAATGACGTGACGCTAATTTCGGCCATTTCCATGTGCTTCACTCTCTCCTCTCTCCTCTCTCTCAGTTGCTCGCTACAAGTACACTCCGATTCGGCGATTCCCTCTCTCTGCGAATTCAGTTGCAGAAAATCAAGGGAGGTCCGAGATCTCCACCTTCAATTCCGCGGGAAGCTCTCTGTGTGGTTCAATCTTCGCCAATGAAGGCTGCCAGCAAAGCCGCGAACCATTTCGTCACCTTCGATCACAAGAGGTACAATCAAAATGCCTTGTTTCGTTTCCATTTCTAGACTGGCATCGATTTTGATAGCTCCACGTGCTCCGAAATCATGGGAATCCGAATCAATGTGTCCGTCATTCGTAGGGTTTTTTTTTTTCTTTCTCTATCTGATCTAACTGATTTCCGTTTGCGTAACAGCATTGCACGCGTTTATTTTGTTAGCTTTGCATCGTTGGATATCCCGATCGTTTCGGTTTAGGTGGCTTTGTGATTGGATTTGACGAGCATTTGTTTTGTTTTCTGAAATTTGGTTTTTGTTCTTTCGTGTTTGGAGTCGTGGAGGAGTCGTGGAGAAGTCGTGCTTTTATTGTACGAATGAATGAATGAATGAATGAATAATCGTGATTCGAACAGTGGATTTCTTTGCTGATTAGTGTACGTTTTCGAGACTCAATCTGCATATGCGTGTAATTCGAAACTGAAACTGTGCTTTGTTTATGCCGAACGCCATGGAAACTGGAATTCGGCATTCTGAATATGTTATTGTCTAGTCTAAATAGCCAGTCGTTGGAGGATGATGGCAGGTAACTTAAACTCGGTTACTCTTGGAAGTTCACCTTTGTGGTATCTGCTTCTATTTCACGCTAGGCTTAGTTTTGAATTGTTTCCATTTTGTAAATACATCAAGAAATTACTTGTCCTGTCTTTCTTTTATATAGCACAATGTACAGACGGGTTTTGTGCATTGAAAAATTGATTGATATTGATACAGGGACGCATATGGATTTGCTGTGAGACCTCAGCATGTACAACGTTACCGAGAATATGCCAATATCTACAAGGTTCTATTCCACTTACAAATGTTCTTCCCGAAACTTACAAAATGGGAACTTAAGGATTTTACTGTTTACAATATAAATTTTGCCAAAAAAACAAATTATGCATATAGTGTCTGGCTCATTCAATGTACATGTAACTTAGGAGGAAGAGGAGGAAAGATCAGAAAAATGGAAGTCTTTCCTGGACCGTCAAGCAGAGTCTGCTCAGTCACTTGTTAATGAGTTATCAGTGGAAGACAACAAAAAGACATCACATGTAGAAGTTGTCAAGGAAGAGATAGATTCTAGTATAGATGAGGACACTAAACGAGAAGATCCAAACAGGCAGAATTCAGGGTTTGATGATAGTAATATCCCTCAGAATGCAAATGGCTTGAAAAGTGATGATGTACCATCAGAAAAGGATACAAAGATTCACAAGATCCAGATATGGACTGAAATTAGACCATCACTTCGAGAAATTGAAGCCATGATGAGTGTTCGTGTAAAGAAAAAGAAAGATTTATCAAATAATAATAATGACACTGGAACCAGAAAGTTGCTTACTACTATAGAAGAGGCTAGATCACCTCGTGGAGCCTCTGAGGAGGACTCTGAGGATGAGTTTTATGACGTGGAGAAGTCTGATCCAGCACAGGAGGCTCCTTCAGGTGACAATGTCAATGGCCCTGTGGTAGGTATACCTGCTATTTTGTTGCCTGTTGAATCTTCATTTCCATGGAGAGAGGAGTTGGAGGTCCTCGTGAGAGGTGGGGTGCCAATGGCTCTTCGGGGTGAGGTAGGATTTCTCTTTATCATACTTCCTATTCCTATCAAGGGGTTCTTCAGTCTAAAATTCTCAATTGCCTTTTTATGTGCAATTTCAGCTTTGGCAGACTTTTGTGGGAGTTAGAGCGAGGAGGGTTGAAAAGTATTACACAGATCTCCTAGCCTCAGATACAAATTCTGAGAATAACGTGGAAAATCATAGTCTTCAATCAGACAGCAACAGCAAAGGGTCATCTACAGACTCTGTATGTACAACTGAGAAATGGAAAGGGCAAATTGAAAAGGTCTCTGCATTGTCTTCACTCCCTTTTTCCCCAAGTATTTCTACACTCAGTGTACTTACAACCCCCCTTCTATCATCCTTTTAAATGCAGGATTTGCCTCGCACTTTTCCTGGTCATCCAGCTCTGGATGTGGATGGTAGAAATGCATTAAGGCGTTTGCTGACTGCATATGCTCGACATAATCCCTCTGTTGGATATTGTCAGGTAATTTTTTAAAGATGCAAATATATTTATTTGGATTGTGGAAAATTCCTTAGGCAGCACTGGCAAAAAGGCTTTGGAACACTGAAACTCATGAAGCCTTTCGGGGTTGAGTAATACTCAATCTTTTACTTGTACATTCAGATTGGTGTCCGTTAACTGCATGGTTTGTGCTGGCTGTTCTAATTCACAGTAGATTTATAGGATCTGATATTGTATTCAATCAAAGAAACTCGTCTCATGTTCTCTCTCTCGCGTATCTTGATAGCTCAATTTTTCTGTCTTCAGGCCATGAATTTCTTTGCTGGCTTATTGTTGCTTCTCATGCCTGAAGAAAACGCTTTTTGGTAAGCTTTCATGCTTATTTGACATGATTTCTTTTGCGGACATCAGACATGATCTATTTCTTCACCTTCTTGCTGTTTTCTCTATATTGTCACGTGACCTGGGGTGGGTGAGTAGGTCTACACTTATATCAGAGTGCCTTTTGCTGATGGAATGTGGGTAAATTTATGGCAGCATGTTAGCAAGTTCCTTCTTTTCTTTAGTATTATTTTTCTAGAGGAGTATATAGCCATAACCTGTGCATGTGCTGCATATGGAGCTTTTTAGAGAATATAATCTCTCTATAAGACTATATTACAATTTAATCGGTTATACACTCGCATTTGTCTGAAAAATCTTTTAGGACCTTAATGGGGATTATTGATGACTACTTTGATGGGTATTACTCAGAGGAAATGATTGAATCTCAAGTATGTTATCTTTTCGGTTAAGTTATTGGCTTTGCTCTTATCTGTTTTTTTCCTTATTTATTCTACAATTTTTTTACAATATGTAGCAGGTTTAATACTAACAACAATTCTGATGGTTCCTCTTTTTATTAGGTAGATCAACTTGTATTTGAGGAGTTGGTGCGTGAGAGATTTCCTAAAATGGGTTTGTATATTCATGTTATTTTTTCATTGACTTTGAATGCAACAAAGTGTTCTTTATGTTCGAAATTTTTCTTGGTGCTTAGTTTTATTTATTTATTTTTGTTTCTTCTGCAGTCAATCATCTAGATTACCTCGGAGTGCAGGTGGCATGGGTTACGGGGCCGTGGTTCCTAACCATATTTATGAACATGCTACCATGGGAAAGTGGTCAGGTTTTATGCTGTATCTTTTTAATTATTTTTTTCTCTGGTGAATTTGTTCACTTGAATATATCTAACCTCCATGTGGTGTAATATCTTGCTGACACCTACTCACATTGTCATTATTTAATTATGTGGATATTCCATGAAGTCGTCTGTCATCTGAGCCTTTCCCTTTCTCTTGATTTCAGTTCTTCGAGTTTGGGATGTTCTTCTTTTTGAAGGAAACCGTGTCATGCTTTTCAGAACAGCACTTGCACTGATGGAGCTATATGGTACTGGATCCCAGCAATTGCTTTACATTTATTGTTTATTTATTTATTTATTTTGAAACATATCGTTTATTTATTTATTTTTTTTTGAAACATATCGTTTATTTATTTGTTCATACAACAGTTTATACTCTACCATAGATTGTTATGCTTCGTGAAATTTCATTTGGTTCTCAGTTACGTGTAGGCCCTGCTTTGGTTACTACAAAGGACGCGGGAGATGCTGTGACTTTGCTGCAGTCACTTGCTGGCTCAACATTTGATAGCAGTCAACTTGTATTGACTGCTTGTATGGGTTTCCAAAATGTCAATGAAGCTAGATTAAGGGAGCTGAGAACTAAACATAGACCTGCTGTAGTCACCACTATTGAGGAAAGATCCAAGGGGCTTCGAGCTTGGAAGAATTCTCAGGGTTTAGCTTCTAAGCTTTACAGTTTTAAGCATGATTCAAAATCAATGATGATAGAAACAAAGAATGGTTCACAAATAAATGGTGATTTGTCGCGCTCGGAGTCTGGGTCCACCAATGCTGATGATATTCTTATTTCATTGACTGGGGAAGATGAGGTTGATTCTGTTCCTGATCTTCAAGAGCAGGTCATTTATTATAATATGGACATCTTTTCTGTCATAGAGACGTTCAAGTTATTGGCTTCTAAGTTCTAACTTGTTAGGAAAGGGAAATCATGACCCAAATGACATATGCTGGAATCTGAATAGTCTCTGAGGTTCTTCAAATGTTCTGGATTTTGCTGTAGGATTGATTCATGTCTTAATTCCATATATATAGTTAGAATCAGTAATTTGAAATGAATTCCTTGACTTTATTTCCACAGAGATAAACTTTGAATGATATTTAAATTCCAAGAGCTAGTAAATAAAAGAACCTTCATTGTCAGCTTTGACTTGAACTCTTACCAACAACGTGCAGGTAATATGGTTAAAGGTTGAATTGTGTAAATTGTTGGAGGAAAAGCGATCTGCTATTTTAAGGTACATATTCTTTATTTAAATCAGACCAAGTTATTCTAAACCATTATTGAATAAAAAACTTCACAACTTTGGCATAGACTTGTTCTTTTAAAGTTAATTCAATTAGAACAAAAAGAGCCTTTTGAATGTACCATCAAAAGACCAGAAATACGTGTTGCGTGTGTGCTAACTAGTACGACAGAAGTAAGAAATTTGTAGAGAGAGATAAGTATTGAGAGAAATTATTATGTTGACAGGAGTGACAAACTGCATGTTGAGAAAGACTAGTGAGGGGAAGTGTATGCATAGAGAGATTGGTGTAAGAAAGTGTATGTTTGCACTTGGGCATGACTAGGTGCGAAGCAAAGTGAGTGAAGTGTCCTCTTTAAGGTGTGCGGCTTACAAGTTTTAAACAATCTTTAAGCATTTAAAATCACTTTTCATGGTTAAAACCATTACCAAATATATCTCAAGTAATTCAAAATGGATTTGCATGAGAAAGAACCTTCGATGTCCTTCCATCTAGGCATCTGGAATTTTCATCAGTAAAAGAACTGAGTTTTACTCTGAATATTGCTCATTAGTGAAGAAAGATATGCATCATAATCCTGAAGATGAGAGATGACAAGGAATCAGCACATATGATCAAGAGAAGTTTGAAAAACGAGACAAAGATCCTGAAAGTAATTAGAATGATGTCTAGTTCTGTTTGGTGCAGTGGTGTTCAGAATACAGTTTTACTGGTTACCTAGATAACAGTTATATTAATTACCTTTACCTGCGTTCTAATATGTTTTTCTTGTTTCACAACTCTTTGTGACCTTTCTGCATTTTATCAGAGCGGAGGAGCTGGAGACTGCTTTGATGGAGATGGTTAAGCAGGATAATCGTCGGCAGTTGAGTGCTAGGGTATATTAAAAATTCCTTAATACTTAAGTTCTTTCCTTGCTTCCTCCGTGTTAAGCATCCCATGCTTTTGACTGAAGATTTCTGTATTAATCTTAAACCTTTTTTGGCGTCAACTTTCCTTTATGAATATAGCTATTTACTTCCTTTTATTGACGGATGACTCATTACAGCATCTAATATGAGGTGGCATTGACCATTTTCCTGTTTAGAATTCTTCCATTTTTGTTCCATTTTCTTTTTTCTGTTAATTATTGTATGTGAGTACTCTGCAAGTGATATGTAGGAATTTTTCTTTTTGATAAGAAACTTAGAGAAACTTTCATTAATCACAAAAGAAAGATACAGCGAACGGGCTGGGGTAGAGGCAACCCCACCCAAAAACTAGACCAACTCTTTCCAATTGTTC